CACAGAGCGGAAGGCATTCCTGGCTTGAAATATATTGTCTGAAAGTGCCAGACATTGGAAAGTACACAGAGCTGAATTTTTTGACCTTGGAGGGATGAAAAGCTGAGTCAGCCTTGCTGGGATTCAAAGTACTCAGGAGTCCAATATTTGAAACCTGTCTTTCTTCCACCAAACAGGAAGGGAAGAGATATCTGGATTGTTTTTTTCTTTATTGCCTGACCCTTCTCCTCATGAACCAGAACTTTTCTGAAGGCTTTTTAAAAATAAGAAACCGTTTGCTTCAGGAAAGCATATTTTGATACTATAAAGAGTGATTTTTTGATGAGCCTTCTGACATATATACATATATATGTGTTGGGCCCAGTTCTGTTTAATATCTTTATTGATGATCTGAATGAGGGGATTGAGTCCATCATCAGCAAATTTGCAGATGACACTAAGTTGGGGGGGAGTGTCGATCAGCCAGAAGGCAGGAGGGCTCTGCAGAGGGACTTGGATAGGTTGGAGAGTTGGGCTGATTTCAACGGGATGAGGTTCAACAAGGCCAAGTGCCGGGTCCTGCACTTTGGCCACAACAACCCCCTGCAGTGCTACAGGCTGGGCACAGAGTGGCTGGAGAGCAGCCAGAAAAAGAGGGACCTGGGAGTTTGGATTGACAAGAAGCTGAACATGAGCCAGCAGTGTGCCCAGGTGGCCAAGAAGGCCAATGGCATCCTGGCCTGTATCAGGAACAGTGTGGCCAGCAGGTCCAAGGATGGGATTCTTCCCCTGTACTCAGCGCTGGTGAGTACTGTGTCCAGTTCTGGGCCCTTCAGTTCAGGAAGGATATTGAGGTGTTGGAGCAGGTCCAGAGAAGAGCAACTAGGCTGGTAAAGGGACTCAAGCACAATTCCTATGAGGAGAGGCTGAGGGAGCTGGGGCTGTTCAGCCTGGAGAAGAGGAGGCTCAGGGGAGACCTCATCACTCTCTATAACTACCTGAAAGGAGGTTGTAGCCAGGTGGGGGTGGGTCTCTTTTCTCAGGCAACTGTCAGCAAGACAAGAGGGCATGGTCTCAAGTTGTGCCAAGGGAGGTTTAGGTTAGATATTAGAAAGAATTTCTTTACAGAGAGGGTGATCAGACATTGGAATGGGCTGCCCAGGGAAGTAGTGGATTCTCCGTCCCTGGAGATTTTTAAAAAGAGACTGGATGTGGCACTTAGTGCCATGGTCTAGTAACCGCAGCAGTAGTGGATCAAGGGTTGGACTTGATGATCTCGGAGGTCCCTTCCAACGCAGCTGATTCTATGATTCTATATATATGACCATATCAAACTAGTTAAGGGACTTATATTGAACATTTTTAGAGGGTTTTTTGATGGATGTGGAGATAGGGGCTTTTATTTTTAAATCAACAGAAAACATTAGATACAAAACCGAATATGAGAAAGAAAATACTCCATACCCCTTTGTACAAGAGAACTGATCAAACAGCATACATGTCTGCTCATCAAGCAAGGGCCAGGTAGCCTTGAAACACTGACAAAATAGAAGATGTCTGTAGCAACAACTTGTTAGGGTTAGGAATGTAGATGAGGTCTGCCTTGCCCTATGTCAAAGCCTGCAGAAGCTGAGAAGCCCAGGATGGCAGCTGCCTTTTCAGGAAAGTTCTGGATCATGACAGTAATGTCAGATATGATTGCCCATCCATTTCCACATCCATCCACTGTATGTCCTGCTCCCTCACCAGTCTAGACTCCTTCTAGCTCTCCATCCAGCTCAGCTTTTCCATTTGCTCCTTCTTTTCCTGTGGCAGGAAAGACTTGGCCCAGCCTAGGTGACTCATGACAGGGATAACATATAAAATTTTTCTTTTTCTCTGTGCCTAGAATCTGCTTTAATGAATGTCTGTTTTCATCAAAAAGGCAAAGCAAAAGCCACCTTTTCCCTCCTCCAGTCCACAGAAATGTTAGTATTCAGACATAAATCAGTTCCAAGGTGATTCCTTGAAATCGTCATTATATTCATGTATCATTAAATTTATCCCAGTAACATCAGTATAATGTCTCATTACAAAATTTACAGAAATGTCTGAGCACTTCTGATAAAGAGGACTCCTTTGATTTGACTTTCAAGGAATAAGTTCCTGAACACAGATTCATTTCAGATCTGCCATAGGTGGGAGGGACAGGACACCCATCCAACACTGTTCTACTGCAACATGATCCAGAAAAGATAAAGTTCAGAGCATAGGGTTCCCTCAACTCCTCTTTAGAGAAGAAAGAAAACTTCCTTGCATTGAGGACACACTCTGATCCCCTCTAGGTAGGCTTTAAATTCATATGGTGCCAAAAAATCCATGACTTATTAAAATTGCATGAACTTCCATTGCTGGAATCAGATTTCGTCATCAGCTCCTAAGTTGCTTTGGGAAGAACTAAGCTTCTGTTTCTATCTGCATTCAGTGCTAAGCTGTGTAAAAACTACTTAATTGATAATATAATAAAACCCTTTAGAATAAAGATTGAACAGTAACTTCCTTTCAGTTCACTAGTACACACTCGTCTCTAACTACACCATCAGTATGATTCTGCACATACAGAAGAACTCTAACCTTCAGATTAAGTGTCCAAATTCAGCTACTTAAGGGAAGAATACATGTATTTACAAAATGGATTACCTTCAGTAATGGTGAATAAGACCAGCTGTGGAACAAAGCTGAAAGCAACTCAGTTTTCACACTGTCAAATGCTGCCTCACTTGTCCCAGTTGTGAGCCTGCCTCAACAACAAGCAAAATTGTATTATATGTGTAGTGTTTCTACATTTGGTCATGCTCTGACTCAGGCAATTAGGATTGTTTTTTGTGGTAAGACCCTCTTCATTACTCCTCCATACTCTTCCATATCCTCATATAACAGATCTCAGTGCAACATTTGGGCCTGTACAAAAACGAACAGGAAGCATTCTACAATGAAGGCATTCAGCTGGAGTCAGAATTAGCCAAGATTACCAAGAAACAAGTAGTGTCATCACAACTCCATTACTAGCAGGTGTTTCCCAGGGCAAACAATGCTGTGAGAAATGTGTGATGATGATTTGCATTCTTGTTACTGGGGAAAAAATAAAAATCTGCAACAGGGGCTTCATACCAAGTCATCTCTCCATTAATACTATCAAATGTTGTTCTTTTTCCCCTAGTATGTTTCCCTAAGTTTTAACTTTATGCTGAGAAATTCCAGTTGTAATCAAGTCACTTCCAAAATCCAACAAAATACATTATTATTATTAATATTTCAACCAAACGTGTCTTATATCCATGTCTTATTAACTGTACTTTCGTGGTCCCTAAAGTTGCAAGTTAAAGGCATTGCTCATCAGCTCTCTTCACACCTCTAATTCTGATGCCAGGCAGACATCAGCTGTCCCACCCTCCCCCCATCCTCCTGCTAACTCATACCTTCAGAGTTTCCTTGATGAGAGCATAGACAGCGCAGAAGGCCAATACTTTTCATACTGTAAAACGCATCACAAATAAATAAAACAACATCATTCTAATATTAATTTACAGTCATTTGCTTTGTGTTTTGCAGTAGGAAAACCCAACAGATGTATCCAGACCATGTTGAAAAATAACACACAGTACAGACTGTCTAATTAAGATATGAGCCCTATTCCAGCTTGTGCCAGACAAGACCATCACACCCGCTCTTACAAGGAGCAGTCGGGTCTCATTACATTTATTATTCCATACTTTATCAAATATAAGGGACTAAACATGGCAATAAATATAGACATCACTACAAAATTAGTGGTTGCTTTTTTTTTGCTGCACTTTTGAAATATAAAGTACACAGGGAGAACAGAGCCAGAGACCACTCCCTAATTCCTAGTGGACATATTGATCAATTAAAGTGACATATGACTGGTCTTTTCTTCCCTTCTAATAGCTAGCAGCTGAAAGACTAAATCTTTTAAACATGCAAAATCAAACAATTAATGTTGTTATATACCATCCAGCAAGATTAACTTGAAGTTAAGCAAAATTAACGTGGCCTCCAGAAGCAAGACCTTATTACAAAATAAACAACTATTGAACATTGTAAAGAATTTCTAAATATTGTAGTCATTATTTTAACCAGCTTTCTAAATATAAAAGATGGGTGTTTTTTCCCAAGATAAAGGTAGAAGCCTTTTTAATTATTCCTATTATTTTATTCATAGCAAATCCTCTCAGAATGCCTGAATCTTTGGCTACACCTTTTACTGCAGTTGCAGCAGAAAAAAAATGCTTGTTTTCTTCCAGTGAAAGATAGATCTAAAATTCACTAAATTCATATTATTATTTCAAAAACAGATTCAAAGACAGTAAAATAGTAGAAGAGCTAAAAGCTACTGTACTTTCAAAATATCTGGTAATTGTTTGAGAATTATATCAATGTTTTGCTTTTTTAAGAATACAAGTAGAAATAGAACAGTACTGAACCATGTTTAAAATCAATACTGTTCCAGTTGCTTGTCCAGCACCGGTTCGCAGAGTATTTTCTGTACTATCATGCTATGGAAGGCCAGTGAAAGTAAATAGGTGATATTCATGCTATTGAAATAAAATAGGTTAAATGAGGAGGTAAACATAATGGGAATGCTCAAATGAAGAGACAAGGAAAGGAACAAGCTAAGGAACAAGCTATGTTTATGGCATTAGAATTGAAAACAGCTATTCTTTCCATTTAAGCAAATCAGACAGTAGCAACTTTAATTGGACTGTAAATTTCAATATATTCTCTTCAAATGTTCAGGCTATTATCACAAACGCAAAGACAAGTCTAAACATTCAGACCGAATGTGTTTTCTGTAGGCCTTTGTCTTTGCCAGTCTGCCTGAAAAATAATATTCAGGCATGCAGCATCTTTCTCCAAAATGATTTTCACAAGGCAAAACCCACACACTTACATTAGGACAACCTTATAAAACAGGAAAAAATAACGGTACAATTAATAACAGCACAATATTTTGCACTTACCATGTCCTGTTCAAATCATCCTCTTTTGATGTTTACGGCACATCTGTAAGATGCAATACTAGGAGGTGCCTTGTGTGACCTGCTGCATGATGCTGTGACATCAGTTCAGATGATGCAGCTCATTATGGGAAAGACTGTTGTTGCTATGGCAACTGAGATGTGATACGAATCCTTACTGCATTTCCAGGGGAGTCTGAGACAATACGGAAGCCCTTTAAAGAAACAGACAAAATGCAAACAGGCTTTTAAAGTACAGTGCCACAGATTTTAGAGCCCATGTTACCATATGCCTTTTATTACAGAATATTTTAGACAAATTATTCCTACACGGTGATACAGAATTGAGATGTGTGGGCTATAAATTATTTCTATATTTAAAACTTAATATTGTGTGTTTCAATTTAAGAACAATTTTTATAAGTCAAATTTGGTTATCATGTAAGGGAACCTTTTAAAATAAACAGTCAGTAGCACGATTTTTAATACTAGGGCTGTAAAGATGGTATTTATTGAACAGTATTTTAAGAAACATATATTTTCATGCTGCCCCACCCTGCTCCTACATCCAATCTGTCATTTACAAGAAAAATCTTGTTGCTAGGGAAAAACGCTTGATACTTCAAAATGAGCAGGTTTCACACTGTTAAATGAATGACAATGAGTTAAAAAAAAAAAAAAAAAAGGCAGAGGGTGGCTTTTTATTCACGAGAGGGTAAAGAAGTTTCCAGCCAACCAAGTAAAAATCTCCTTATCATTTTTCAACTGCAGGGCAAACTGCACTACCATCTGCATGCTGAGTAGCCTGGCTTTCATCTGCCCATCAGACAGACAGATGAGTGAAGATTCCGAAAGCTGCAGACAAGCTGCTGCTAGTGCCCAGTGGGCCAAACTGCTCCTCACCTCCAGGTAGAGCGGGAAGGCCAGCAAAGTAGAGAGCCCCTCCCCATAACCTAAGTGAAGGACTGGAGTTGGAGGCTGACCCTGTAGATGTTACCTTCTGCAGAAGGAACCTGCTCACATCCTCTTTTCACAGTAGGGATGAGAGAAGCAAAGACTATGTGAATGAGCTGCCTGGAAATTAAAATTCACAGCTAAAGAACCACCAGCACATTTTTAGCCACTTGCCAGTTTGATTTGGTGAGAAAAGTTTCTGGCAAAAACTGCTTTCCCTAGCCTTGAAAATCCCTTTCTACATGGTAGGGAAAAAAATACATAAAAGGCTTGACCCTCTGCTCTTGATAATGTGAAGCCCAGTGTAAAACAAAAGCCCAGCTTAAACCAAGAAGCCTCAATGTCCTGAAGATGTCCAGTCATGTCCAATGAGGGTGCCAATGTCTGAAGCCCTTCATTCTTTTAAACTTCATCCCGTGAGCAAAAATTTTGATATTTGATTTCAGAAAAAAACATACAAAATATTTACACACTCTTACCCACCACCCACCTTCGAAAAAAATAAAGAAGAGCGTTTGATATCTTTTGATTAATGGATTAAATACAAAGCCTCTCCATAAATCTAGGAAATGCCATGACCTTTCTAATTAGTACTGTCTTGACATGGTATGGTCTCATTCTTGACAGTTTCTCTCTTCTCCTGTTAATCCTGTGTCATTCCAAACAAAAGAAAGCTTTCAAACTGACCCAGTATCAAAACCAGTCTAGTGATCCATAATGAAGTGCTATGCACAAAAGAGCTGTAGCTCTAGAATTCTGAACATTTAAAACTTTCTTAGGATTCTGAGGACGTAATTCCCAATATAGCAGAGGACAACATTATTGAAATATGATTTGGGTTGGAGTGACGTGAAAACTAAGGTATGTCATTGCAAGTTAGCAAAGTTTATAGTGTGCTGGATGCCATTCTGTTCAAATGACATGAGTTTTTGAAGTTTTCCTTAAAGGAACTATTTTTTATTTGTTAACTACTATTTATAAGATTGCATGCAAGACAGCTACACAAGGAACATCCCAGGTAGAGTGTAAACTAAGGATTTGTTGTACAGGTCTTATGAATGGTACTATGGTGACTTTACATGCAGGACTGCAACAACTACTTGCTAAAAATGTATGAATACAAAAGGTAGCACTCACAAACTTTGTAACCTCCTAATTAAAGCTGTGGATATAGAGGAAGAGAGCTGGGCCTAGTTGTTATGGGTTTTTTGGTTTTTTTTTAAGAAAAAAAATTAAAATTAAGCTTCTGTTTCAAGACAGCTGCAGTTATTACCCCAACCTAGGACTGACATATCTTCTAAATTAAAGCTTTGAAAGTGCTTTCTATTTGCATTCCTTCCAGTTCAGTGGAACAGGAGATGGAGAGAGAGAGCTAAAACTATTCTATCGCCACATGAATATCTTGATCATTCTGAAGTATAACCAACATGTTTCCAAGGCAAAAGCTGAGGGCTTTGACTATAACTTTTTCCTATCAAAATAGAAATATTTTATCCTCTTTCAATCATGACAACGCAGGTCAATGATGGGCATAAATTACTAGCTTTAAATTCTTATTTTAGTCACATTCTGCCTCTCCAACACAAGCTGTTGTGTTTCTCCCTTTCCCCACATTGGCACTCCCACAGTTATTTTGAAAGGAACAAATTTTATTGATATTCATTTGAAAAGGAAGAAGTGTTTCATCTACCTACTGCCAATGCTTTCACTTTTCATCAGCTTATGTGAATAACCAACATTTGCACAATCCACGGAGGTTTTCAATAAGCAAGTCTTTACCATCTTTGCCATATAAGTAGGCACAGCCTTAACTTTAAAAAAAACTTTATTTCCCTTCAGTGAGTAATAATCCAGAGACTAACCTTGACATGATTTACTTTCCATTTAACTATGTTCAAGTAAATGAGCTAGGAGTAAACATACAAACACAACTAAACAAAGTAAAATGCTATTGCATACCTTTTCTTTGCATAATTGAGACATTTTCTTCTGTGTTGTTTCCCCCTCCAAACAAAGGAAAGCAATTGCTACCTGGTTGCCACCCTACCCAAACAGCCAAGAGAGAAAGGGGAAAGTACACTGAAGGACCCAAGGAAATGAGAATTGCATATTCTAAATTACCTGTCAAATAAGCCAGAAGCAGGCTTTAAATTAAAAATAAAAGACATAAACGGCACAATCATAATTTACTGAATGCTGATGCACAACAGATCAGCAATGTGTAATGACACAACAAAGGAAACCTTGATTCTCCTTCAAGATTTTGTAATCCACTTCAAGAATGCATCTCCCAGATTTTGCATGAGTGCCTTAACCAAACAGCTATATGTATCAAGGTTTCTATTCTGATGTTGACTCTGTCAGAAGGAAAGGCTAGGTCATACACATTGATAACAACTCTATCCCTCTTCTCTAAATGGAAAGGGATATTAATCAAAGTCTTATTGAATCCATTGTATTGAATCTGTCAATTGAACATTGCATTGCAAAGGAGAGTTATACACAGTCTGCCTTGACTGAACTCATTAAACATCTATGTTTACCTACACTGTTAGGTAGGGAGTATTTTCCATTCTGTCATCAAGGTCATTTGAGCCTCTGTTCCTACAGTAAGGGAGAGCAGGCATGGGAACTGCTGTTATGATGCAAAATTGCACCCTTGTATGAAGTAGAAAAAGCAGTAGTGATCCCACAACTACATAACTCAAAGACACTAGTCAAAACCATACATCAGTTTCTTTTAAGTTTGGAGCCTCTCATTTGTACTAAATCGTTATATTGAGAAGACCCTGCCTACATGATGAACTAACTCTCGCTTGTTACTATAGCCTGAAGGGGATCTGCGTCACTGATTTCCTATCTGCATATGGGTCACTGGTTTCCTCTTTGCATCTGGTCTCAAGAGAGGCCACGAGATTACAAGACTGAAAACTCAGCTTCTTAAGTGGGACTGCCTTGCTTCATTTTTTAGAAGATTAGTAAATTAGTAACTGGTGTGCATCTTTTTCTTCTTCCTCTATAACATGCTAATATCCAGCACTCTGTCTATTCAGAAATAGCTTCACAAATTATTTTTTTAAAAAGTCAAAACCACAAAGACAGTTGTAACTCTACAATGTGAAAAATTGGAGTCACCCATTTTTTACATCCATATGGTAGAATAAAATCTTTCCATACCAGCCTAAACCTTATTTAGTCATGACTGAATGTATTGTGTCAGAAAGCAAGGTAATATCCTCATTCCCAGCACACTGAAAGATTACGGCAGTGCCTTGAGTAATGGGACACTTCTGCCAGCCATTAATGAGCTGAGGTCCTCAGATGGAGAAACACATAAACTCCAAATGTTTTGATCTAGCTCTGGACTAAATACTATGTTGTTAGAACACTCCAGGGCATATAATATTGTCATATTAGTGTATTTGTTTTCCTTTACTTTCATGCCTTCAATCACCCAAGAAGGATATTATTAACACAATAAGGAAATGCCCTAGAAGGTCTTAATCTTATTAAAATAATATTTATATGAAAAATAATAATAAAAAATTAAAAGTAGCTTGAGATTTTTCTCCTTATGTCATTAAATACAACCTATCTGCAATATAAAGACCAGTCAAGTTTAATAGTAAAACTTAAGCTTTTCCAAATCAAGTTGTAAATCTTGCTTCCAAACCTTTTTGCCTACTCCATCATTTACTATAATAGACAGCACCATAGGTCACAGTCTTGGTTTTGCCTCTGTTATAGCCATCTCTCTTGACTAATATACCTCATCATGTGCACTTTTCCATATTTTCTGAACTTATTTCTCATGTTTCCTCTCCACTTATGCCAATCTTAATCAAAGTTGGGACCTGATCACTTCATATCTTGAAAACTGCAAAATCCTTATCTCCAAACACCAAAGATTAGTTTTACCCCTTTCCATTCAGGATATTACCAATAAGTTTGTCTTTCTGGCTCATCTTATGATAAGCTTTAAATCCTTAAGTATTAAACATAACTAATTTTATTTTTACACTTTGGAAAACTCTGCATGGTTTCATCTTCCTGCTTCTACAAAATTGACTGCATTTCCCTCTGCC